AAAGTACACTAAATAGATTGTGAGCATTGGCGAGGTGGAAGAAGCTAAAGCGGTGCAATATCGAATAATAAACAGATTTGATATTCTTACAGTTGGTGGTGAGGACAAGCTTCTTGCACGAGTTCCTGCAGGTTAATAAGATATTCATTATTACGTATGTTATAAGAAAATCTTCGTCTTGCAACTGGTCATGACTAGAATCCTGAAAGGGGTAAATATACAACAAACAATAATTTTCTTGATACGCTCCTAGGTGCAGTATTAATGCAGATCGCATAAAGATAAGATATTGATGGAGAGTTAATAAAGGCATGCTGAAGACTTAGGCTGTTTGCATACGGAGCGACTGAAAAGGAATTGATCAGTGACGCGAATTAGATCAGTATACTTTGAGTCACTTCCTACGTAGTTAACTTTTGGAGGGCTAAAGTTACAATAGATCTTATAGGTCGCGGTAACGAGAGGAGCCGCTCCCCTCAGTCCGGCAGCAATAATAATAAATTCTTTTGCAACAAATCCAGAACCTTCTTCTGTTCATTCTTCTTGACGGTTCTGCATCCATGACTAAAGTGAATAAACTATATGTTTTGATCGCTGATGAGTAGCTTTGTGTGGTCATTAATGTTTAGTTACTTTTCAGTAGCTTCGTATGCAGACCGCCTCAGAGGTAATGTTGATTTTATACAGAATTGTCTGGATGCAGCAATACCAGAGATTTGGTACTGGCATAACAGAAATTTAGATTAAGGTTGGTAGAGACTTAATGTATCTGTCAACGCATGAAGCAGAGATTTAAAGTAGACTTAAAAGTTTGATGCAGACTTTATAAGGACTTTATGAAATTTTATGCAACCTTAAAATAGTCTTTATGTACTGCTAGATGCTATATTAATGCAATCCAGATAGAGATATATCTGATATATATAATATTGACTCTTCACAGCTTGACTTAATTAAACACGGCGAAAATTTTTGATGCAGGCATTATTGTAATTCAAAGCAGAGTTAATTACACCTATCAAGTCAAAAACATAATGAAGATTGGATAATTTGTCTTTATAAATTTTATATCTAATCCGTGTATGGATTAGACGTGATAGAAACATAATGAAGACTACATAAATACATGATATAGACTGTATATGAAATTGTCTCCATGTAAACTTATTGAAGATTTGTTGCACAAAATGATACAGATTTAAGATAAATTTGATGGTATTTTAGAAGATAAAAGTCGTTAAGTTACCTAAAGTTAAAAAAATAATATTTTATAAAATTTGAATTAATTTTAAACCAAAAATTTTAATATTTCCTGGGAGCTTTAAGACATATTACCATGTTGTCCCATCCTTATTTGTAGTCATTATAAATTCATTCATTCCCATGATTCATTCTTTCATCACGCATTCATCACATATACATACTAAATTTATCTTCATAAAGAAATAAGTCCTTTATTTCCATGATATAAACTAATAATAAATATAAAATAATTTATGTGGTATATACCTATAGAACTCAACCCACACCCAGCTTTAAATTTCATTTGTGAAAAATAAACTCTTAAGCTAAGGATTTACATCTACGACTTATTGCATGCAATTTCTCATCGGACACTAGTCAGAAGCAATGTAAATAATTTTTTATTATATGACATTTATTATGTATTATGATTTTGATTTGTACCATAACTAAAAGTACAAGATATCTATAAGTTTCTGTAAAGTTTATTCGGAATCAGGTTAAATCGTAGCATGGTAACACGAAAGAAATCGAATGCCACAACCTAAATATATATTACATAATGAGATGCAAACGAAATTCTGAAATTCGTGGGGGTCCGATTACGTAATGCGTGGGTGCATCGTCAATTGAAATTTGGTTAAAAATCGACACATGAATGGACGAAAGACACACGAATGGATGGCTTCGTAGACGCCCTATTCGGAATACAAAATCGGTTCGCGGCCGAGATCATGGGTTGATTTTTACAATATTGGCAATGCTGTTCATGCCGGCCGGTTGCGTGAGAACGAAGAAACCCAGCGTCTGCCGTCGACGTTGTTGCCTCGATGAACCGCGCCAGCGCCACGCCTGTAAATATAAACTGTTGCACGCGCACACACAACACGCACCAACAGTCACCATATATATATATATATATATATGTGTGTACAAATACACGTGTACAATTTTATACAACCCAAAAAAATTAAATTAATTTAATTTAAACGTTTTTCTTTCTTAATATAGGATGTTAATAACGGGATTAATATCCTATTTAAGGAGTTTTCCAAAGATTATAAATATCCATTTAGTTGTCCTTTGGGATCTACCGGGAACGGCCCCATAATGGACGTTGATGCTGCAAAGTGACCAAGAGAAACGGTTGATTTACGCCAAAAGCAGTCCCTCGGAGGCACAGCCGCCTATTTATCGCCGTAAATTTCTAAGTTGGCCTGGCGATCGGTCGCGATTTACAGCGATCGGACCGTGTTTTATTGAATTTCCACCTAGCAAGTTGTTCGAATGAAGATACGGTCGACGTGCTCCTATTGTTGCTAAGCGGCCCTCGCTTATCTTCCTGTTTTTCCTCCGACGACGGCGAATTCATATGGGAAAACTTAAACGACGATGTTACTGTCGGAGCCTGTCGACAACATCTTTTTGTGTTTCGATCCGCGAACTCCAACTTCCGACAATCCAGTTCGTTTTAATTTAACTCAACATGAAATTCTCTTAAATCTTAATTTATTTCGCTTTTATTTCTACATAAACTTGTTACAGCACAAATTGATAATTTTATTAGACATATTACACTAATAAAACTAAATTAACATCTAATCATCATAAATTTGTTTAAATAATTTTAGATCGTTAAATTTGGTATTTATAGCTGTTATTAAATAAAGTGGAATGAATAAGATTTATTTTTAGATAAAGTTTTAGCTAGAAATACGGATGTAAATTTTTTGCAAAGCCAGTTATAACAATAGAAAATTTTAAATTCAACATCCTGGAGAAGTGAGATTATGACCGTTTACTACATAACTTTCCTAGAATATTCTGGTTTTAATCCTACGGTCATTACACCTTGAATTATCGTTTTTGGTGCGGTTTTATGTAAGTTAGTAGGTTTATACTGTTCTACTTAACATTGAAAATTAAAATAAATTCGAATTTTTTTTTGTAAAGGTTTTTTTAACTACATAATACAAACTTTCTTGTTTCTATGTCTCTGGAGTGATTAATTAGCGATTTACTCGGTATAAGTATCCAAATGGAGATCCAAGGTGATTTATAAGCTGACCACAATCGCTTTCGTTAGGATGCAGTCCGCGAGGAAATTCGTAGAAGCGTACTATCCAAGTTTGGCGAAGAACGAGACTTGCCTTTGGTGGTCAGCTTTATCTTCCGAACGTTTTGTCCAACCTGGGCCAAAGGATGTACCGCATTCTTTTAATTGTGAGTTACGGTGTTACTGGTTACAGTTATAATCCGCCGGACAGTTAAAAAGATATAAATTGGAGACGACGGTGACGGCTACATGGATGAGACGCTTAAATGAACATATTTGGCTGTATAAATCAGGAGTTTCTATTACGGTGGAATAAATCTTCGTTTTAATTGAGAAAAGATTTTTTTATCGTCGAAACATCTCGGCGGTGATTCTCCCAGGAGGTCGTGGTAGTTGGCCTAACACATATATAAATCTATAAAGACATTGAACGTTTTCACATTATCTCGGACATAAAATTCTTGAATCAACCTGTATATAACTATTTTAACTGATGTGCTGTTGGGTTACGTTAGAAATAAGGTGGCCATGCATGAGTAATAATTCTGGAAATCAGTGACCCGTGGAGTCGCCTCTCTCCCGGCAAAGTGTTACGGCATTTGTACAAAGCCGGCTTGCTCCACAAGGGTCCATTAATATTCGTGGTCCATAAATTAATTGGCATCGCCCACGACGGAATCGTAAGGATTCACGATTCAGATGGTGCGGCGGAATCCGCATGCAGCGCTGCATCCTATTTCTTATTTAATGGTCGCGTTCGCGATTCCGACTTAACGGGGATTAACGATAAATAGGACAGGTTATCGTGATTTCGTTATTATTAGTACCACTGAGTTCTATTCGATTGTCACGAAAGAGGGTAGTAAAGCGGATCTAGGCGATGTGTGGGTTGGGCATTTAGGTTAGTATTTTGCGTTAGGTTAAATAAAAAATTTGAATCTAATTTAATATTTTTTATTATTTACAATAATTACTTATTATCTTTGATTTTATTTATTTATTTTTGTATAAGAACATCGCGTGTGTTTCCTGAGCAAAACAATTGCAATAAAATACTAACGAACCGTACTTAATAAACGATATAATAATATAATTAAAGGTGTATACTAATAACTAATAAACATTAGTAAATTGCCACGAACAATCGCAGAGAAAAATGACAACATGGCACAAATAAATATATAAGAGAGTAAGTACACTCAATAAATAGTCATTGCCGTTGAATCAATAAAAAACGATTATTATAGCGATAAAAAGATTGAAAAAGAGGACAAAAAAATTAATTATAATATATGATACAATATTTAATAATTATATATAAAGTGTGTTTATATATATATGTATATTCAGTAACAATTTTCTTTTGATTTGACAAGAAAAAACTTAAGGCGTCGTAACGGGAGCTGGTTGGGTCAAGTTGGGTTAAGTCGGGCCGAGTAGTACGGGAGTCGTTTTGCGTCCGACCTGCATCGATGGAGGAATGCACATTCACAACCACGTAGGCATTAATCACGACGTCGATTATCTGCGATTTTGGGACACGTAAAAAATAACTAATTCTTACAGGAGCAAAGGAAGTTAGCCAAAATCTTGGCATTACACTAACTACTGATCACGCCATTTTTTTTATTTGTTTTTATCTGTAAGATAAAACATCACAAATTGTCCTGTTAATTTATTAAAACAAATTGGTTACACTCACCAGTTTTAAGATGATTGCGATTCGAGCGTAAGAGGACCTCTTCGTATCGGTAGATGGCAACAGCACTCATCCAGTTCATCCTAATCCTGCCCAAACTATAAAGTCAGGCAGTTCCCTTACAGGCACGTCTTTTGCCAACGCTTTCACGCGCAAGTTTCTATCTTCAGTTAATAATACCACCTCCCTATACAATTTTCTAGGTTCTCCTATAAGTAAACAAATAATATTATTATATATACATTGGCAAAGAAAGAAAGGAACAGTATTGCTCAAATCCACTCACCTTCATTATGCTGATCTTTGTTAACTTTACACAACGCTAAACAGGACGACAAGATCTTATCGTCGTTCTTTAGCGCCATATCGGACACGGAGTCGTCTTCGACAGTGAACGTTGACGAGGCCAAGATCGTCCCCTTGGTCGTGATGTACTTAATGTTGGAGTTCTTGACACTGAGGTAATCCAACGCATGCTTTGCTGACTCGGCTACCATGATTACGTGTTCTGGGTCGGACGCGTTTCTTGTTGTTGGTACTGGGTGTTTTCCTCCTTTTGCCAAACCTTCCAGTTCGTTTAAAACTGTAATTTAAAAAAACAACTGTAAAGATTGTAATGAAGATTATTTACACATGCGTGGTGCATCAACAGCGACCACCGTTTCTAACTCCGTTATAAACCACCATAAGCCTTCGTCAAGGACATACGAGAAGGCCACATAAACCGATTTAGATGTATCGTACGGTTCAATCGACGCGAAACATGCCAAATACGCTGTCCTCATGGATTAGATTACGATGTCTGCAGCTGATGTGCTGTGGGAAGGTGCGGACCATCCGTGCTTGGGAACCTAAAACGTTCCGGCTAATTGAAACGCAAACTTCCGCGTCTATTCTGTTCACGGCGCATGGTATTTTGCAAATTAAGAGCGCCGCAACGACAACGAACCGGTTAACAAACACACATAATCCAATATTTATTTTTATGTAAACTTATGATGCTTATCGTAAACGGAAAATGTAAATACAGTGATGTTGAAAAGTATTGGGACGGCCGGTGGTTAGTGGTAAGCAGTTGCAACTCCTTTAAGCAAACGACGTGGGCGTGGTACAAAACGTACTTCCGCGTCCTAAACGGTACCTACAGATGGTGTGCTCGTTGTTAAACAGTGGAACGTTATCCATTCGCGCCCGAAGTGCGCTACGATCGTTAACGGGGTTTAGTGCCGTCTTAACTACCCTTGTATTGAAAACGTATGCACAACGTGAAGCCGTTAAACAACAGTTCTAATAATTTCACCCGGACGTATCTGGTCGGTAGTCTGCAAACGACGCATATATTTACAATAAGAGTTGAACTGCGTTTCAATAAATATATGTGAAAATTAAGAGGTAATTGGTGGAAGCAAAAAAATATTATCGCAAACTTGATACTTGGGTTTGGTATTAAATTTCTTAGCGTAAATTACTTCGTCTCCGGGAGATTAAAATTACTTGGCGGTCCGTTAAAAGCCCTCGAAAATTACGGCACGATAATAAAGAATTATATTCCGCGTACCGTTAACGGGACGCCTTATTAGGCGTAACCGTGACCGTTATCGGGAGGCGGTAGACAAAGTTTCGTCATACGATGATTTTAATGGGCGCCGAATGGGCTCCCGCAAAGCGACGCCAGACGCCTCTGGGTTTAAACGAACTAATCCACTCGTAAATCAAATCCGAAGTAATAATGATCAACATTAGAAATTAGTTGGACTTCAAAACTAATAATTTACGTTTATAGTCACACATCAAAATTTAAATTAATATTACAAATAACACAAATCAAAGTTGCAAACACTTTAAAAAGCAATCAGTAACTTAAATGGAATTTAGTCAAAATGGAATTTAAATCGTTTAAGTTCAACGAACATCAATTTTTGCTCGCATCGCTTATCAAAGGAACCGAATACATGCCAAGGAGATTGTAGCACATTAAAAGAACGATCATGTGCTAATTTAAGCGCTATTACTTACCTACAAGGGGTACCATTAGCGTGTAAACGTGAGCCGTTGCAACACTTTTGATCATCTCAAGATAGTCTATGAAACAATTCGTATCTGGGATCAAGTACTTTGGACGAACTTCTATGTTGACGGTTACTATAGATTGTTGCAAAATTTTCTGAAAATAAAATAAATTGCATTAGTTAATAATAAATTAAATAAGATTAAAATTCTATATGTTTGTTTCAGATATGTTTCAGGTCGACCTTGTCCTTAGTGTTAATCTGAAACAATCTTAACAGTGAAAATGAGCAAATTACCTTTATGCATACATAAAAAAATCCATTAACCAAAATACTAAATGAGGATGTGCTGCCAACGGAAAAAAAGAGTATCTGGCGAGAAACCCACAGGAGTTTTTGCCACTTAACCGAATGAAGAAATATTTTCTGAAGCGAATAAATATGCGAAAAGAAATTAGAAGAGAAAACGCTATTAACAAATTTTTTCAACCATCACGCTCTTATCGTGTCCGAACAAGTTTGCATAACATTCTCAAAACTCCTATAATGTCGTAATAATTTCCATTAAATTAAATTATTTAATAATTCTTATCGACCCACCCGATTTCAATTCGACTTATTCACTTGTTACCTATACATCACACCAATATCTCTCATAAATCTTTTGCATTACACGCCACCTCGCGTTGGAATAATCTTCCAATATCCGCAACGATGGCGTTCCGTCATCCTTTAGGGTGGGACTCAAATTAACTAACATATCGAATTGTATAGTCTTGATTCACTTCATTTTCTTTTTCTCGTTATTTCTAACATAAAAATGTTTATGTCCAAATATACAGGGGGTGATTTATTAGCTTCATCAAACTTTGACATATGATAGCTAATCTAATTACCAAAAAAAATTTTAATGAATATACGATTTCAATTATTTACGAAATTATAACACTTTAAAGTTTTAATTTTTAAATCATAATTAACTGCAATATTTTTTGAAAACACAAATATTACAAATATTGTTCAAAATAACCTCCTTCTGCTAGAATACATGCTTCACAACGACGAATTAAAGAGTTTTTCAGCAGAATTAAAATGTCTGGTTTGATGTTTTATTTCAGTAGCAGCCATTTGTATTCTGTTTAATAACTATTCTCGTGTGTCAATTTCCACTTGATACACAATTTGTTTCATTTGACCCCATAAGTAGAATTCGCGGTTCAATACGCGCCATGCAAAACATTGACTTACATGTATGTTGCGTGCTATTCTTCGAGTGCTGATGGAAGAATTATCAATTACAGCTTCTTCGTCCTCTACATTAACTACATGCGGTCGAATAGCTTTTTCTGGACCAGGATTACCTGTTTCTCGAAGTCTTCTGAAAGAATCGCTAAAAACTGAATAATATGGCAAATGACGCTGTGGAAATCTTTCTTGATATTCTCGTACTGATTGTCGAGCATTTCCATTGCAAAAACCATACACGAAAATTATATTAGCATACTCTTAGCGTACATTTTGAATTTCTTCTTGTATGTAAATTCGCTGCAGAAAACTTTAAAGTGTTATAATTTCGTTATAAGTTCATTAACTTTTTTTTTTGGTAATTGGATTAACTATCATATGTCAAAGTTTGATGGTGAGCTAATAAATCACCCTGTATAATTTCAATATTAAAAAAAAACAAATCAAATTATTTCAACGATCAGATCAACTGTCTTGGTAAAATCCAACAGTAAACGGATGATTGACACACAATCGAACCTGACAAGCAATAAATACACGTAAGGGTTGCTCTCTGCTAGACCCAAGATCTCCCACTTACCGACACAATGAGTTTTTAATCCGTAAAAGTGACGGCCGTTTTTTATCAAATATTAATTATAACCACATTATACGGTATTAGAATAGAACGTTAATTGTGTCGGATCCGAACCCAAGTCCTCACCTTTTTATAACGTACTCTTCAATAACATCAAAGGGTTATATGAAGGAGTCAATTGGGTTGGATTTTTTGGCTCGTATTTATGACTTTGCTTCGGCATGGGTAATCTGTTCCGTGGTTGATTGTTATTTATTATAACGATTATAAAATGAAGTAAGACATGGTACTAAAAAAAATAACTGACTCTTTTATATTTAAAATCTTTCATGTAAGATGTTTTAATAAGAATAGTATTAGAAATAAAGTAGGTACATCCGGATGTATTTTCCCATTGAAAGTACCCTTTTATTGTTAGCAAAAAGAAAAATCGAAAGGAAATCGTGATTGATAGTAGATGGACGTTGGTATCGGTGGTACAATAAGTTCTTTGATCTGGTTCACCTACTTTCAACGAACAGAATGAGATGATGACAAAGTTGGTATAATTAAAACGAAATAATGACCGATAAATAGACCAGATTTAACGATACATGCAAAACGCGGTAGCCGCTCTAACAGAAATAACTTGTCATCCTGAACGGTGACGTTATCTGGTCATCGACAGCCACCGTCACCAGCAGTTCAGATTACCGGAGTGCGATTACGGCGAGCCGCCACAGTAAAACTGCTCGTAAATATGCTAATCCCATTGAATGCGATCATTATCTGCCTCGTGGACGTCCGCGGTGCCGATATACGCGAAGAAATAATCGATTACGCGGATCTAAAACGTCAGTGACGTCATATTATTTTATTATCATCGCGATAATAAAATAAGCTTCGTATTCGGGTTTCTATTACGCGAATTGACCGGCGCATCTGACCCCCGCAAAACTCGCTAGCGTAGTCGTAATCGAAACATCGCTCGCGGTTATGGGCGTTCTCCAGCGAGACAATAGTACTATATGGCGTAACTGTAAATCGGCACATATACCAAACGCATGGTTTATACATTTCATCTTTAGATACAGTCTGTGGTCGGATGAATGAGTGTTCGTTTGTTAATTGTACTAGGACGTTACCGCTAAAAAATGTTGCCCGCGATTGTCAGCGAGGTTGTTTATTATCATTTAAAGAAAAACATTTACTGGAAGGTGTAGAATTCTTCTATGGATATTCTAGCTAGCACATTGTATATGCAAATCGAAAAGAAGAAAAAGTGTATGGAAACGAGCACGACGCAACAGCGTCCACTCTCGAAGCAAGCGCGGCGGGCGCGAACGTGCCTAAATAAGGGGCGACCTCTCCGTAGAACCGAAGAACACAGTCGAACTCCGATATCCCACTATGGCCGGACGGAGACGAGTTTTCAATGCCCCTACACATGTTCCTAACTGCATTACACCGCGCGTTAGAGCCCCAGCCGTGTTCGGGGAACACCTGTGCGGCCCTCGACGTCCACCGCCGCCGTCGCCGAACCCGATGGGAACGAACCGCCGACCACAGCATAAATAGCGTCAGAGTTTAACAGTTAGCAGAGTTGCATCGCTTGGCTGTAACGCGAGGAGTTTAGGGTGTGTTCGAGAACATCAATCATAATCACCGTCGCTATGTCGATGTACCTAAGATTTTTAGCAACGCGCTTGACCTACTTACGTGAATACTGAATAGGTACAACTCGCGGTGTTTACGCGCCAACATGTAGAGATGTGGTTACCGTTATTGCCACATACAGACAAACCTTTATTAAACAATTAATCAATAAATAGCGTTTACCTCTCCATTTTCAATTAATTAATAATGATTAATTAACACTTTTTGAATTACTAACATATTTCATATCGTTTAAACGATTATCAATTATCAACAGAAAACTATAATAGGTGATGATTAAATGGATTCAATGCAAGGACACAAAATTGAAACGTTCTAGTAGACTACCCTGGCTACTTGTCATTCACGTCGACTAAAGACGCCGCGTGACGGATTCCGGAGCGCTCGAGGAACCGTTCGATGCCGCCGTCGCTGCGGGCGCATGCTCCTGCTGCTGAGGAACCGTGGGAACGCGTGGGCGTTCCACTTCCTGGTACCCGTATGTCACCGAGGCTGTCTGTCTTATTTGGACCTGCGCCAATCTATCGGGATCAGCCCCCAGAATGATTGGTAATTTCGCCTCCGCCACGTCGTCTCTATCTTTCAAACAGCAATAAACCTTCAGACTTCCAATAAGCGCTAATAAATATGTAAATGTCGAACGTTGTAAAGTAGCAAAATAAAGCAAGATGATGTAAAGGTAATTACAAACTCTTTACCAGGCATTTCTTGATAACCAAAAATAAATAGCTCGTTAATAGGTTTGTAAGCAGATCGTTGGTTATGTTAATTCGAAACATTAATTTATAATGTGTAAAAAATATTATAATATATTTTGCATAACAAATGACTGAAACGAAGTACCTAATTAACTCAAAAATATGAATAGCAAAAATGCAGCCCAATTTATCCACAAGAAACTTTGAAGAGATCCACCATGGAAGGAAACCATTAATTAATATTACTTGTTATTAGTAAGGCTTAACACTCGCCTTTAAAATCAAAGGACTACCCAAATGTCAAATGTTAGCATGACCTCGTCGTTTTTTAAGGTTCATGAAATGTTTTGTTCCAGAGGTGAGAAAATAATCTGAAGAAAAGAAAGCCTTGAGAGATCCGTCAAGACGTGGTGAGGGCATTAAAAAGTATCGAAGTCCAATTTGAAATTAAAGGTTGCAAAATCATGTTGAAATAGATGCTAAATGTGTAAAAATTTATTATTCTTCAGAGTCACCTTCCCAAGAAGCCAGACATTTTTGTTTGAGGTTTAATCCTAAATCGATACATTTTTAGCGCAATATGACAATAAAAATAATAATGACCCACATAAGTACAAAATTGATTTTAATCGATGTGAAATTGAATTTTCTTTAAAAGGAGTATGACATTTACTACAAAAATTACTACCAAATTGAAGTAAATTTGAAATATTATCTATTTATATTGGTAAAAGCAAGATAAAGCTTCTTATGCTATGTTATAAAAGGTTAATCTTAATAACTTTAGTTATTTTTATAAAAGAATTAGATGCCAAATGAACTAAATAGAAATTTTGAAATTTTATTTGAAGATATCATACTGCCCCAGATAAGTGGAAAATTGCGTTTAATTTATCTATAAGCCTTTATTTCTGGCGACATCACTTGTTTCCATCAATAATACCGGATTCCATTTTCTTTTCAATTTTTGGTTATAACTTGTACGTTTATCTTTAGAAATACACCAAGTTTCGTATGATATTAGAAAAACTTTAATATCCCTATCTACTCATGCTGGTAGCAATAAGAAAAACGTTGTTAGTATTTGGATTGTTGCTTTTCTACCAACTTATACACATTTAGTTATTGAAACTTCATAAACATTTACAAGATTTAAAGTTTATCTTCAATTGTAAAGGAATGTACGTAAACGCATTACACAAACATAACGTGCGGTGAAGGTAATTTGCGGTTAGTTTAGCACCAGCCAACATTAAAGTGTGGTACTACAAGATGTATTTGGCGCCATACTGAGGAACGTAATGTAATTTGTCTAGATAGCGTTACCTATAATTAATTGTAAAAAGTTATTTGTTTTATTTATTTAAAAGAGGAAAAAGTGGGGCGTCACCCGAGCAGATGGATGAATTCACTCAGCGAATCCAAGGTACTTATACACTTCCATTTACGCGACCTAAAAACTGCACTTGTGCCCATAATCGGTTCAACATAAAGAAGCTCGATACGGTGGCGTTTTTACGTCCCTCGAGCACTCGTAATTTCACTATAATCGCAATAAAAACGTAACGCGATCGGGTTTTATCGCCGGTCGGATTTGGAGTAGTTTTTCCAAGTTTACCTGAACTCGTTGGCGATGAATTTCCTGATGTCTGTGACGCTTCTCCAGGGCGACTTTCCGGTTCAACAGATCTCTTATCTCGGACGATGTGCCTTCTAATTTTCCTTCTGTTGGTTCTACAGTTCCGTCTTCATCCTCACTAAAACTTTCCACCAACAAGTCGTCGTCGTTGTCCTGAAAATAATAAGAGTCTCAAATTTACGATTTGCAATTTATTTATAAGAGAACAGAACCACAACCTCCTTCGAGAGACCGATAACCATCCGTTCGTTAGCGTGAAGGTCAGTCGTTGTTGCAGACTGTTCAAACAAAACAACTTACCAGTTCTGGTGGTGAGGGTGGCGAGCTCCTGCTAGATGACATCCTGACCACCGAGACGTACCCGCTGTAATCGCTTTCCAGTTCAAACTTTAGCACTGGTGGTTCAAGGCCGCACAAGAAGACGGTACCAAAAAATAAGAGCTTGGATAACCGCAACGCAAACTGAGCCTGTTCCACATCCAAGTCCTTTGGTGCGTATGTAAGGTCTTGAACGTTGTGCATCAGAGGTGTGAAGCCGCAAAGTACGGCGTCCTCAGGTAATCGAACCTGTTCGTATCCTAACACAAAAGATTAAGTTTACTATTTCTATCTTAAATTATAGATTGATTAATTACTGCCTTCACGCCGATATAAATCTAAGACTATCAAAGACATAGTAGAAACATAGCAAGTTAACACACCTTCAACTCCGCATTATCAACGGGTTCATCCATAAATCTTTAAAAGAGCCCGGCGCGCGTTTTATAAATAGAACCGAGTGTCGTCCTTAATATTATCCGCGCCGTAATTCTCTCCCGCAATCGATTAAAACGCCCGCAACACGCGACTATAAAAATAAATCTCGATCGCCCTAATGGCAAAAACATGTTGTTTACACGAAATAAATTGAAACAAATTGTGCGAATAATAAAACCTCAGACCAACATATACGATTATCATTTCTATTAATCTCCTTTTGATAATCACAACAAAAAGCGCAACCCAACCATGAATATTAAACGACAATCGATCGTAGTCGCTTGCTTTTCTAGCGCGCGCGCATTTGCATTCTAATAAGATTTAACCGGACGCTACCGCTTGCAGCAACAGGATTTCCATCTATTATTCTTGTCGGATGTAGTAAATAAACAGATAGTTCATTAAAGATAGAACCCCATAAGACACTTTAATAATAAAAATTCAATTATCAAAACGTCTAAAACAAACTCCCTAACCTCTTGTATTTAAATCGAAATATTACGATTTATGTGTTATTTTTTTAAAATTATTTTAAACCAAACGCTTTGTCTTCAATTTGTCGTTGTCTAAAGAATTGATAGCGGGTACTTAAAATATGAATGTTTTCGAAATAAAACAAAAAGTTATTCTTTGAAATTGTGACAAGAACTTAATAAGTGTAAGTACCCAAGACAATGACCATCATCATACTAGAAGGACGTAAACGTCCATCAGCAGGAGCAAAGAACGTCTATACGTTAATTGAAATAAACCCAATTAATCAAAGTCTCCCTCCTCGTATTACCGTCGGCAGATGAATAATACTTATGCGTTTTAAAGTACGAAACGCATCTTAGCGCGCGCACGCGGCTAATTGCGTGCAACACGACGACTCCTCACCTTCCTTCTGTTCGTTCACGAAGCTATCGTTGGTCGGCGAATCCTGCTTCTTCTGTTCGCCCAGCTTCTCAAGCAAGTTCATGAGCGCCGCGATGCGGCTCCACGCGTCGCCGGGGGGCCTAAGAGCATTAATAACATTAACGAAGGCAAATAATAGATGCGGGCATTTAAGCTACACCTGATCGATCGGTAGATGATCGATGGCTAAGACAAAATTGGACGAAGCAAATAAAATTTTACTTACCCGACTTTGTAGTCTTGAGTCGATGGAGGTGGGTTCCACACCCCGCTGTGACACAACATCCAGTCGCTCCAGATTTTCACTGCTGGTAAAAAGATTTGTAGATCTTGTGGGAACGCCGTTTGAGGTTTTTTCGATTTTAGATGATCCTGTAGAATTGATACGCAACGTTCCAAAATCAAATTGAACATTTGTAGTGATACTACTAAAGCACGTTCTTGTAACTCTGATCTGTAACCAGTTTGTGACTGTAATTGAGGATCTGAAAAGAAATAAAATTTTTCATGAAATTGTATGAAAGAAAACTCGTAATACAAGGTGATGGGACAAGGTGGAGGTTATGCGGAAATCTTTCGTAAGGTGGTATCGCGATTACATCTGGTTTATGCTACCGGTTGACCGATATTTTAACAAAACCCCGTTATACGGTCGAGAGTGGTACATGGAGCTAGGTAACAACCGCCAATCGCGCTTAGATCTCGCCTAATGGCCAGCTGACAACGTTCCGGTAACGTAATTATGCAAAAATCGTTTCCAGATATAAACGGTATGGAATTACTTTGTTACTCGCAACATTGCCCATAGATGGCCAACATTTTTAATTCTGCAAGAAAAAAAAAACAAACATAAAGTCATCATAATAAACTTAAGATGATATTTATCTTTTTTAAGTGAGTTCAAACAGTCGTATTTACAGTTTTAGAAGACATCATCTAACGATTTGGCGATCGTTAAGACCGAAGCCGGTCGTTGGTCTTTTTTCTTCATTCCGCGCCGCCCGCACCCTCGACGCCACGCGGACGATCGCGTGGTGACCCTTGCAAGGCTGTTCCAAGGCCGAACATTGGCCGTTCTTGCCTCCGCCTATACGAGGCCGTACTCTTCGCTTTGCTCTCATTACGGTGCGGCGATTCCGTCGCTTCGCCGCCGCGCTCATCTCCGCACGCAACAATGCCCCGTAGTGGCGGCCCCCGTTTTGCCCGTTCCGCCCCGTAACCACAGGGTCATTGTCGCCCCATCATCCATAAAAACGAAGACGATAGCCATTGGTTTCGGAAAAACTAGTAAGAGAGCGTTACAAGAACGCTCTCGGTAAATACTATGAAAGTCGATGTTGAGAGAAAATAACAACAATAAATTAGAATGGACTTGATGCGTCAAGTTCAATGAAAAGTATCAAGTATCCGTCGTTAGGCGTGTAAATAAACAGAATTAAATCGGATTGGTTGTTGGCAGACACTGTCTTGATGAAACTCTCGGTTGCCAGATGGAACTCCCCTTCGCTTAAAATAAACATCTTCATATTTCGCTTTTGCTTTATTTGCAAATTTTCTATATAAAGTATAGATATAAGATTTCTGTTAGAACATAATGTCATTCACGGTATTTGGTCGCATCCCTAGATAAATATATTTACTGAATTTAGATTGGAGGATCTCGATCGCGATCGTCTCGTTTTCACGCATACAGAGCGAGTGCGTGCGTAGCTCATGGCAAATTGGCTCGGCTAATGAGGCCCGCAGCTGAGGTCAGTCGGCGCCAACGCAAGAATTCCGCCCGGTAATTATTCCCCTTGCTCGGCTCTAACGGGCTCCAGAGAGGCTCCTTCTTCAGCTGCACCGTTTCGTCCTTCGCCGCGGATTCTTTCTGGATCGGGCAAAAACAATTCCACGCGGCTAAAAATAGCCTTTATACGCACACAATCGTCATTCACGTTCGCTCCGCGTGTTAAACAACGCGTTCGCTTGATTTTATTGCAACGGCGCGAGAAGAAAAAAGAGTAAGAGGAAAAGGGGTGTTATTTATTGTGGTTGTTTTCTAACTAATCATCGACGTCTCCTACACGTTACTGCTATATAGCCGAACAAGGCCGATAGTGTAGATGTCACTGGCACGTATATCGGCGATCTGGCGGTGCCACCCGCGGCTGCGGGACGCGTGGGTCGATCTTTCTCTGCTACAACTCGGCTACGTTAAGAGTATCCAAACTCGAGATCCGAACCGTCCTTGAATAAGATTGCTCTCCCCCGTGCTCTACAATGCAATCGCCATACAGCTACGAAACCATGTTAAAGGACAGCCCACACTTGGACACAATCTAAAACTACTCCTATTATAACGATCATGATCATAAATTTAATTTTGATGTACCCTATGTATGCTAAATGTATGCCAAAACTACTTGGTGCACTATATACTTCAACTATACTCTATTTTTTAATTCGGAGGAGTAAAATGAGAAGTCAGTGTAATTTTTCAAAGCTATTTTTTGGCGGGAGTTTTAAAACCAGAGAGGATTTTAAGTAAACTGTAGTTACCCAGCCATTTGATTACTTATTTGTTTAAACATTATAAAAACTAGGGTGTTATCTACTTACTTTTTCCCACATAAAATGCAACAAACAATACCGTACGTCTAAAGACATTTCTAGTTCTAGGTCTAGAGTTAGTTCTAGTTTTACATTAGCACTATCACTAGAACTAACACAAGACCTAGAACTAGAATCATTCGGGTTTAGCCGTCTTGGGAGACGTGCAGCTAAATCCGAATGTTTCTAGTTCTCGGTCTAGTGTTAATTCTAGTGGCAGTGGTAGGTACCGCTATTCAGCATAAGATATTACTATGTTGTATATTTTTATTGAGCTAAAACTAGAACTAAGACTAGAAACTTTCTAGGTCAAGTGTTAATTCTAGTTTTACCTAAATCTTAACTAACACATAACCTAGAACTATAATCATTCGGATTTAGCCGTCTTGAGACAAGTGCGGCCAAACCCGAATGTTTCTAAGCGGCCGGCAACATCTCGAATTTTCCTAGTGTAATTTTTTGCTTAAAACTGACAAAAAGCAACCCTTCTTTTTGGCTCTTCAATTTAAAAACACTCCTCCGAATTAAAAAATAGAATATAATCTAATACTAGAATAAGAAGTTAAAATTGTTAAATTATTTCTGTGTAGTAGTATTTCTTCTTTCGCGTGTAGACACAGCTTAAATTCACGTGATATGTCACCGGGTGTCGACATCTACATGAGCACATCTCGAGTCTTTCAGACCTGGTCTGGACGCCTTTCATTGTGCGCATCTGTTATCTGAATGACACCTTATTGCATTACGGGAGTTATTGGCGTGTTAAACGATAACTTACACAAAACTACGCATCCAGCTGGCCTATTGATCGAATTAAAAGACAAGATAATAAAATTGATAAACTGTGTTAGCGTTTCCAATGCGAATGTTTTGAGATATTTCTATGATGGAATGTCATCTTGGTAGTATAAAATCATTCTTCAAAAAGTAACACATATAGAAATTTATGAACTCAACAAAAAAAAGGAATTGCTGACGGCAAAATTATTCCTTTTTTTTAATTTTTTGAATGGAAACTCGTTCGATTTATGACTAATGGCCGGAATCGAGAGAATAAATTACAAAAAAAGGTAATCAATGCTGTTCGAAAATAATCGGGTGGCTGTTCAGAGCGTAAAATAAAAATATGAGCAAATGCATCGTCGTGACGCAACCGCCAATTATTAAAATTGCCCATTCCGACGGTTAATTTACGAGAAATTTCTGCGCGCGTTGTCAGGTGGGGCTTTCGGGGCAATTTATGCACGCGCGATGATTTAGTGCGCCCCAACAGACCAGCCTCCGGTAATCGTTTAATTAATTATGTGAAAAATTATGATTTGCGCATAATATGGCTTAATAAGACGTGACTTACATAATGAACGTGCCAAGAGATCATTAAATTACAATTTGTTTATTTAATGCAAAAAAATCAAGATTAAATTAGGATTGCTTAAATTTTTAGTATTGTATTCATCAATTTTATATTATCATCTCATTGCCTCTACATTCCAAATTAAAGTAGATAATCGACGGTCGCAAAGACACTGGTACAAAAATAGCTTCCTCGCTCGCAGTAAAACTAGCAGGTAGCATTTACGACAGTGTAATTTTAGAACACGTCGCTGACAATTTTTCCGGTGCATAAATGGAAGACCATAAAAGTGGTCGAAAAAATAAACAACGGGATAACAAGTACTAAAATTACTACGGTGGCGGCAACCTTCAATCAAAGCGCCACTGTAAAAATCTCTTGCAAAGGAAAACGAACAACTTCAATTGTAAAAAAAAAAACGTTGAAAAAAAAACTATGTGGTCCATAATTGCCTCTCGCTAACTGTAAAATTGGATAAATGACGAACAAAACAATTTGGGGAAATCGTATCGAGTTGAATTGGTGTCGGCAGGAGGTGAGCAGCGCGGGCGGTGGTAACCTTGACAAGGTCGTTCTATGGCAGAGGTGAACATCCGATGGAACTGAAAGGATACACCAGACGCGAAGTGTAGCGAATATTTGGCTGATTGTCTGTTGATGAATCTCTTGAGGCCGTACAACTCGTACTTAAACAATATGAAGTGTTGTGTAAGCAATCAAATGAAAGGAGATCATTGAACGAATGATTTATTAAAAAAAAATTGAAGTATCTACTAGAATTAATTTATTATGTAGATTTTCATTTCAATTAATTTTCATATTAATGACTTTCCAAAATTGGTATTGTAACAAAAATGAAAAAGACGAAAACATAATACAACAAACTGTTTATAAATTACTCCAATTCTCTGCATTTGATTATACATTTAAAAATAGTTTCGTGAAGACGAGTTCGTTGTTCTCGAGAATTTTCTTCTTCTAGTAGAAATCGCCGGGCATAGTTGGTAAGCCCTCCGGCTCTCGCGTGATACTTCTTCAGATTACTATCGTAAAGCACTCGACTTATGCCCAGAAAATTATGCAACGTGTACGCCCGTACGCTCGCAACTCACTCAAAATGCAAATATCCGCTGCCGGCGAATAACACCCACTACTGTCCGTCCGGGCGATTCCGAGAATTCCGCGCGATCTTCGCGGCCCTTTTCCTTTAGACAAATCTAACCGCCCCTTCGACGTAAGTATTCGCGTATGTTTTATGTATGTATGTATTACTACGATCATTCGGAGATTTATGATACCACGTATCGAGAATCGTTCGGAAAGTTCGTGTCGAGATCGAAAATTCAAAATAAGACACGAGTTCTTTATGGCACGGCGCTGTGCTCTACGCGGCTGGCGCGGCGTAGAAATTAAGTGACTAGAATTAAGTTAACGAGGTTTCATGATGTACGGTCACAACGAGTTCCCTTTCTGTTCCAACATTCGTAGTAATTACGGGTAAGCCGTACGCAAGCTCTTAATGTTAAACTCTTAATGAAC